GTGCGAAAAAAGGCGAAACTCAAGTCCCCCACAAATTCAAAGACTTAGTTATGCCCGTGTTTATGAATTAATATATTATCTATACATAAAAGATCCAAATACCTCACTCACTAATCGCTGTATATCGAAAACTACTCAATCGACGATCCTGAAATCTGGAATAGTGGTTCCTTTAATACTTTCACCGAGCAATACGAAAAGATTTTGAAGTTTGGACTAATTAATAATTTCAATTTTTCGTTAATACGTATTGTGCGGCACGGCGGCCTGTAGCGCAGGTTTCCAGCTACCTGTAACCTCTACCCATACCTGCCGTGCTGCGGGTAGATATGAATTATTCCGAGAAATTTATCGACAAAAATAGACATGAGCGAAGTCGGGTAATTCAGCTAGTTGTATAAATTATCTATAGATTGTAATAAAACGTACTTATATATAATAATATACATATTACGTATTTAACACATGCTATTTCAAAATTATATATTAAATTAATTATTTTTTTTCTTTTTCCAATTCGAAAATAACTTCTTTGGCCATAATTATTGAAATATCAAGTTTAAGTACTATAACGTTGAGCGGTTTAACGAACATCTCAAAAAAAAAGAAAGAAAAGACCACGATGATATTGAGAATCCGTCTTCCAAATCCAGGCATGTGTTCACCATTGATCGGTCGATTATGATGTGAGTATGTACTATATGAGCAACCGCGTGAAGCATTTTTGATGACTAAATCTCGATTTCAAACGATACATCGACGTCACCCAGTTTCTACGACCAATAAACATAATAATATTACAATGTATAATAACAACGGAAGACGGTATCGACACCCTCAATAAGATCTCGATTCGGTATTGAACGTAAATATTTCAAATACTCGTATTAACGGGATGTCGTGGTGACGACGACGAAAATTATTAAATCTCTGTATTAAGCTTCCTCTATTACCTCAAAACCATAAATTATCGTTGAATCAAATTGGTCGCAATAATTTTCCAAGAAGAGTTAGAATTATATTTGTAGAAAAGGTTTGAGCCCAGTTTTAGTTGATATGCTGATGTTTATACCTGTATTATAAGGTTTTCTGTTAGTCAGTCTTGCAAGAGCCGTGTTGAAAAATATATGTAGGTTTAGCGGACGTTATAAAAAAAAGCTTCGGTACTAAAAAATATCACAGCTATCTGGTCGCCCGGCGGCCGATGTATCGATTCACATTGTAATACAGTAAGCGAGAAACCGTGACAACTTCGGTCGGTTGACAGTGAGTGTGAAAAATAGGTATGCAGTGTTCACCGGCATTATTATTCGCGTCAGTCGAGCAGTTTAATTTTTGATTGTATCATTTTTTCTCAATTTTATTGTGCTACGCCCACCGAGCATTCAACGTCTTCATGCCATATTATTGTGGTGAGCAATGCGGGGAAAATCCAACGGAACGAGTCTTTTGCATGTATTTTCGAGCCCTCTATAATCAAGGTGAAACGGCCTTATCGGTTAAATTATACATTCTGTTCTTCGTTTTAAATTAATTTTTATTAATTTAAAACTTGTGTTACGGTACAATTACGATATACCCCTGCTGTGATTAAACACCGTGATATGTGAATGATATGGCCGGACGTAGTGTGTGACTCACTAAGACACTAAATGTCTACATTCTGCACTAAATTTAAATTGATGCTTATGGGTTTTGCAGCCATCGTTTTAATATAATTTAATAAAAAAAAAAAAAAGTGGTGTAAAACACGATAAAAGATGCGATAGTACTGAATATCGATTTTTACACGAACGACGTTCCTTCGTACACGCGTGGTAACAGTTACCGTATGGGTTTCGTTTGCTGCATTTGTATACTCTTTATTTTCGATTTCGTACAGTTTTGAGTGTTTTGACGTTTGTAAACGATTTCACAATTTCCGAAAAACCGCGAGCTACAACTTGGCGGCGCATAGCGACCCGATAATAATCTCAAGTCGAAACAAATGACAAAACTTCATATTTGTGCCCAACATTTCCCAATAAAAATAAAAGCCATTAAAGCGGTTGTCGATGTGCGATAAAGATAATAATAATAATATAAATTAAATATTTATATTTCCCTTAAATAACTGCTACAGCCTACAACTACATTTACCTCTGGTACATAGTTAAATGTTGTAGTCGACACTCGACAACGTCACCACTCACCACAACATTATAATTAGGACATTACACTTTGTTTTTTATAAATAACTTAGATTCATCATAAATCATTTTTTCCTTTTTAAAATCTATATATAAAATATAATGATGTTTGTTTATGGAATTTTAAACGAATTGCGTACCACTTAAAATAAAATAGTGTTTGAAAATTATTCCTGTAACATTATCAGTTATTATTAAATGGGTATATAATCTGATAATTCATACAACGAATTATACGATTATTATTTTAACAGTTAATTATTATATAAACTTAAAACAGATATATATAATAATTATGTATAGGTATATGACGTATATACATAGTGAAACCACTCATTTCATGAAGTGGATATCCAAATCGTGAATCTTGACGAAAATACATTACGCGGACATCCATTTCATGAAATGGACAATACTTACATTGTGTACTTGATGTAATTATTTTAAAACAATTTTTTGCTATTATCGGGGATTGGTGAAAATAATAAAATTATCTGCTAAATTATGTGATCCAAGTAAGAAAATATAAATTCAACATGATCGTGGACACGAAAGTCAAATTATAGCTGCAGAGAAAATAATCAAGGTATAGACAATAAAACACGGTAAAAATGTTCTTTTAGATCTTAATTTAAAATTATTTTCAATTGGGAAATAAAAAAATAGCAGACGATTTTGAAATTAATCAATGCGTTGTTATTCGGAGTATCGAAAGTTGGTAGGAGACCTATATACCTGCCAAACATAATTTGTGTGATCACGAGATAAAAACAAAATGGATTGCATAAGCTTAGAACAAAGTATGGTTTGGTTAAAGGATGGTTCAGTAGTATAAATGTTTGAAAAAATCAAAAATTCAATTGATCACTAATGATCAAGTTGATAAAATTGTTAAATTTTCAGTGCCAGAAATTATTAAAAAATTACAAGAGGGCAAAAATTTTTGTCTTGTTCGTGGAAGGCAAAAAATCCTCGCCAATCAAGTCAGAGTGCATGTTTTAAATAATATAACATGCTATGTAAATGTAATAATCTATGTCATAATCAATTGTCGTGAAAAAATAATTAATAAGGATATTATTTTATAATTATATTTTATATAGGTAACACTGTCATTTATAAAATATAATATACAATTATACTCATATATTATATTTTTTATTTTGTATTTTTTTTTTTCATGAAAAATAAATAAAAAAATTAATAAAATAAATACTATATATGTATGGTGTGTAAAAAGTAAATAAAAATATAGTATTATATAATTTATTGTTAAATAACAAAAGTAATTTTTTTATAATAATTTCATAAAATACACAATATAGGTATTATCCATTTCATGAAATGGATATCCATATAATGTAATTTTCGTCAAAACTCGATCTGGACAAATTTCACAATCTAGATATCCAGTTCATGAAATGAGAATTTTTACTATGTGGATGCGCCAATATATAAACTGATATACTATTTTTTTTTTTTTTTTTTTTTTTTATAACAACCAACATAATATTATCTTAATCAAAACGATTACGAAAAAATGTTGACATAATATATTATTATGCACGGTACTGTATATTTTCGTTGATTGATAGATGAAAAAAAATGATTTAAGTAATTGATGATTTTTTTAATATAGATAGAAAAGAGAAGAATGTCCCGATTTAAATTTATTAGTTTCAACTTTTATTGATTATGATAACATTTTAATATATATTAAAGAATGTGTTAATATAGTAAATATATACATACACTATAAAATATAGTTTTAATAAAAAGCTGAAAGAGAGACTTAAGTTATTATAACTATAAATATATCTAGTTTTACTATTTATATATTTACTTAGAATAGTGTTTTTTTTTCAATTCTAACAAAATTGAAAATGTCATACATCTCTAAGTTGCATATAATTTTACAAATATAATACATACGGACATAAAAAATAACGTATGTTGTTTTTTACTAGTATTTGAAGGGAGACAACTTAGGGCTTATAGTCACACTCTATTCGTACTTAAATCGATGGAGTAAGCACGACAAAAATATTATTATACTAGTACTTACTTCAAATTTACAATTGTAGAACTGGATAGGAATTTAATTTATACACACACACACACACATATAATTTAAATTATTGATTTATTCTTGTTTTGCGCTAAATTTTTAAAATGTATTTACTTATTATTACAAAAACCAGGTTAGCTTTCTACAAATTGATATTCAGCTGTTATTTTCCGTTGATCTTCTGATATTATGTATCATGCATTATATATTATATTATTGTGTCAAATGTATTTGTATAAGATGATCACCGTGGTAGCGTGACCAATGAACCATGAAACAGTTGATAAAACAATCACTAAAAATTGAAGTAATAGTACTCGAACATAAAATATAATCTATAATACACAATATTCACGCTTTTTTATAACATGTTCTTGTAGTAGGTATAAACTTGCTTATAAAATTATATGAATACGTAATATTGTGTATACGATTACTATTTTATGTTGTTAAAATACGAACCTTTGTTATAAAATATAATCACTTGACGTTACTATTTTATTTTTATTTTTAGATAATGAAGAGTCTCAACGTTTTCCAATTGTCCATGAAAAAAATTTTAATTCATTTTTAAAGCCATCAATAATTATTGTAATATATTACTAAACATTTACAACAAAATTTATTCCGAAAGATTAAAATATAGGTTTTTTTAATGTAGATAATCTATAATATCCAGGAAATGAAAATTTTTATTTTGCAGTTATATTTAGAGAATAAAATCATAACAAAACCATATTAATACATCGAACAAAAAAAAATGTATATAAATTGTATATTTTGATTAAACATTTTTATTGTCGATTAAAAATAAGTAAAGACTTATCGACGTCTACGCCGTCCCCATCTAAGTGGTTGTCCTACTGGCCTATTACCCTTTGATGGCACTTCCGTATCCGGGAAAAACGAACTGAATGGTGATCGAATCACATGTCTACCATTACCACTCAACTGATTCCATGGTCTCCAATGTGTCAAAAATGACAGTGCTCGTTTTCTGTTTTCTGTAACATATTTTACATTTATTGACTTAATTAATTAGTTATATTTTTTGTTTATAAATTTTCTTTATATCAATACGACACAACAGCCGTTATATCATCATTAAAATATTATATTATTAAACATTCTTTCTCTTTTAAAATAAATGATACATTATAATATATATTTTAATACCCGCCTAAATAACTAATATAATACTGACAATTAGGCATAATAACTATCAAGAACTTATTGCGCATTCCTCATAAAAAATATATTTGGTAGTTAGCATATTATAATATTATGCGCGCTTATATTTTACTATTTGGAATTTAAATGTTTTAGTTTTAGTAGATTCAATTTAAAGTTAACAATTTTATTATAGTTATAATTTGAAAAAATAATAAATAACAAATTAGTTTTAGTCATCAATCTTGTATACAAATTTAATATCAGCTTTAGATGAAAAAATAATTAAAAAAAAATCATTGAATGACTGTATTTGTTTTGTTGATCTACTTATAATTTAAGATTAAATAGGTGTAATTCACATTGTTAAAATATTTCGTAGTAAATACTTGAAATGTTAAAGGCGTAATAAAAAAATAAAAATTCGTACGATACATTCGTAAAAGAAAGACACCATTTTAAAACGAATACTTTCCCTAACCTGCTCAGAATCTAAAAATATTATTTTTAAAAGAACGCATTGAAAAGAGATTTAAGATTAAAAAAGGTTATGGTGTGGGAAAAAAGAAAATGCTTATAAAAGTATAACTGTACATTTTGTATAAACGATTTGAATAAGTCTTAAAAGCTGCATAAAATATTAAATGTACACAGTATGAAATTATTATAATTTATTTATATTTAATATTATAATTCTGTGATAAACTTATATATTATATTTTATTGTGAGTATATGGTTATTTTTTTTTTTAATTCTTTTCTCCGTAATATAATAAGATGTAGTTAAAGCAGATGGATTAAAAAAAATACCAGTAAATGTATTAGTCTTATATTTTTAAGTTTTAAGAGAAAAAAAGAAGAATCTAATGTTATATAAAATGTATTCATCTTTAAAAACAAAATATTTAATATTTTTATTATTAGTGGAATTTGTTTTTAGTCAAGTCTTAGATTATACAAAAATTTTTTTTTTATTATGTTTATTATATCATACCTATGTAATACAGTCAATATTACGTTCCGTATCATGTATAACTTTTATACGGTTAAATTAGTAATAATAGAGCATTTTAAACAATATGCGTGTAATTAAAGATATCTTTATACTACTATGTTGTAATATAATAGATAGGTACATACATATTTGTAATTATAAAAATAATAAAGACAACCCTTTAACAGTTAATACGTAAATTATAATTATTTGAATTAGGTTTTTATAGTTCTAAAGAACTTTTAATTATACTAAATAATTTTTATAACTCATACATATTTTGTCCTCGGAAAAAAATACGCAATATCACAGTGATTCTTGGTGTGAATTTAAATTTATAGATGTGTGGTTATCATCACCACAGGTCCGCAGCAAACACTGCGAAGCATATAACACAATACATCTTAGCATGGACCATAATCTTAACAATTTTAATAATAAACCATGATTTTTGAAACCTAAATTCTTCTATTTTGATTTTCTTATGAATTAAAAATTTCTTTTGAATAATCCCAATGATTGACGAAAAAAGGTGAAAGCTGGGTTTTATTGAATCTATACACAATTTGCGTGATTTGTCTTATAAAACGACATAATTCAAGTCAAATTTTATTTTTTATCTATTAATAATGTTCATTAAACATAGTCGAATGAACTATGAAGGTTATAAATAACAAATTGACAAGTTTGTTTATTCTCTTTTAAATGAAAAGTGTAGAATTTAACTTGAAAACCGATACGTACGATTCAGAGTTCAAGGTTTAAATTTTTATGGTCAAGAGTTGGTTTACATTAGAAATTATTAACGCTTAATTAATTCTGTACCAGGAAAGTATCTTATGTTTCTGTTGAAGATAAATAGAAATTAATTCTAGGTCATTGATCACAACCTAAATTTTTCGGCTATGGAATTAATCATAATTTTCAATAAGTTGGCCAAAGTAATTCAAAATTATTTTTAAGGAGAATAGTTTTTATTTTAAGGTATTTGAAAAAATGGTGACATAATTTAAATTTTAAGAGATATTATTTTATATTTTCTCAGTCCATTTATTACTTTTTAAGGTATTAAATAATTTAGTAATATTATTGTAATATGCATTTATAATATCGAACTTATATTTGTAGTATTCTAATTTTTTTGTTAGTATTTTTATTTATTAATATTTATAATTATTATATACCTATATATACACATGTCTTATAAAACAATTGGTGTTTATTTAAGTCTAATTCATGATATACTCGTAAAACATTACGCCTTAGTTGTGAGCCCTAAGATTACCACGTCTGATGATGTCTTTGGTAAAAGATTAATTGAAATATTATACCACATGGTTACCAAAAATTAGAAAAATATTAGAAATACTAAATTAAACATCTCAATTTAAGATTCTAAAGGACAAACAATAATATGTACGTGCGTCGTATACTTAGATGGCTATTATTATTTTTGAATTAATTTGTAAGATTTTTATCAAATTTTGAAAGAAAATTTATAAATTATCTTTTATGAGGTATTTAATGAATTATTTTTGACGTAAAAGTTATTCAAAAATATTTCCGCTCCAGCAAGCGTTAAAATACTATGTTTTAAATATATACTCGTAATTATATAATAATTAATAGTAACTTACCATTTTTAAATATATTTGCCGAGTATTCTAATTCTTCATCTTCATCTTCTTGAGGAGACCTCCATGTACCAAAACCTCTTCCACTGTTATCCAACCATCTTAGCAAGTCATTGCCAGTTTCGTCGTATGAACCCTTTTCGGCTGCTATTAAAGTGGTTACTAACACCAGTAATAACACCCATTGTAATGCCATAGTGGTTAATGCCTTTGGGCCAAACCACTATACCAACTCTAAAAAATAAAATTGATTATAAATATTATTTGTAAAACTTTTATTTTTTAATGTTTAAAGAACACAAACTAAAAATATATTAAAATATGCATAGCTTATTTTGTTTCATTTATTTTAATTTGAACAATATCATAAAAATTATATCGATGATTCAGTCTATGTATTTTTAGTTTTTCAATTTGGACACTAGACTAAAAGTAAACAGATAAATTAAAACAAAAATATTTTAAATTGGTCATTTGATTGTACCAATAGATCATCTATAAACATCTTTGACCACTATATTTCATGAAAAAATTATTAACAGTTATAGTATAAACACTATAAACAAAGTTATGTTTTAACAATATTATTATATTATTATGTAATATTTTTACTCTAGGTATATTCCAATTTTGCAATGATGTCTAAGTTAATTTATAATTGTATGCACTTCAAAGAGGTAGACGAGTAAATATCGTTCTGCGGTATGTCTATACAATAGGCGTTTAATAGGTCACTTTAATGAAAGTGTTAAATTTGAATTTATATTATTGCATAATATGAAAAACAATTTTTAGCGAAGATGATCTATCGTTTATATCAAGTATACATTTTTACAATATTTGCAACTAAAGTTATTTATTTAAACTATTAGTATTACAATAAACTGATTTAACTTTTAATAAAATCTTTGCATTTATTATAAAGAATATATTTGTAAATTTCTTTATTACTGTTATTAAATTTTGATTAAAAAAAAAAAAATCATATAGGTATCTTTATTTATTATTTTTTTTGAATGGCTATGATAAAAACTCATAAGGAACTTTATATTAAATTTTTAAGCTTTTAAACCGAAACAAGGAAAGAAACTTTTAAAAAAATAAGAAATTTATAAAAAAATGACAAAACAAATATATAATGGTGAAAATTTCAAATATCTGCGAAAAATTAAATTTTGAGCTACACAAAAAATGGGTTTTACGGATTTTTTTGTTTTTCCCTTTTGCTTTTAAAAAGTACTGTGAATTTTTTTCATTTGATCTTCAAAAGTACCTACTACTCGTATATTTACTTTTTCACCAAAAAAAAATACGCAAGTTAAAAATCTAAGCATTTTTCCTACTACAAATGCATGAAATAATTTTTTTTTCTTTTATAGCGTAAAGATATTACCAAATCGTTAAGTGTTGTATACACAAACACAACCTAGAGTAAATTATGTGGTTATAAATTTGAAATTCAAATCAATAGTAGGTAAATGTTTATTTTATGAAATATAAATCAAACAACTCAAACTATTCAAAATTCTATTCAAGTATAACAATGATTGTACCATATTTAAATCATAGTCATTATGATAAAAATAAATCAAATAATTGTTGTTACTATAACTTACGTACCTAGTTAAATAAAAAATTGAAGAAAATATAGTTATTACTTTATTGTATTCGATATTAAAATTTTTAAAAATTATTTAAAGTCATTGAATGAAACTAAATGAAGCAAAATTATTGATATTATAAACATAAATAATATCACAAATAATAATTTTATTAGTGTAAATAGTATAATAAGAATAAATAAATTTAATATTAATATTAAATAGGGGTTATGAATAGTTTAATTTGTATAGTGTATTTTATTATCAATTGAAAATAATATAAGCCATACAAATGTAATTTATTATAATAACAATAATTATCAATTTAATAAATATTTAAAAAAAATAAGTGTATCGTGAATAAATATAGGTATAGCAGTATTAATAGCATTAAAGTAAAAAATAATAATTCTAATCTTTATTTTGTTGAAATGTATTTTAAATAATTTTTCTTGTTGAATCTTAAATTCGAAGTATTTTTTGTAATATTCAACAACGTATTATTCGAATATGAGACCTAAAATATATGCATAACTAAAATTACTTTAAACAGAATCCCCAAAAAATGTACTTATTTTCGTTATAATTATTATATTGTCAATACTTTAAATAAATCTTTAAGCTTGTTTAGCATAACATTTAATAGCTACAATCAATGTAACGATAAAATTATAAATAAATGTTTATTTTATAAATTTATATATTATATTACTCCATAGTTGTTAATATTTTTTGTGATTAAATAATTTTTGAAATTGTATGTAAATAAGGTGTTTATTTATAAATATAAAATTGTCTTTTAACAAATATTTCACTTTTATTAGTATAAAATAATATGAGAATGTGCTGATTCTATCGTTTTGGAAAAGTAAATAAAAAGTAAGTTTATATTCTTTCCGAAACTCCATATTTTATTGTTATTTGTATTTGAGGTTGAAAATAAATAACAAATCAATATAATATTTTTTCAGAAATCATAATCTTAACAAAAATGAAACTTAAATAGAATTCATATATTTTCCCATTCAAATACAATTTTTTATTTGAACTACTTTTATTAAACTATATTTGTACTTTGGTGATTTTTTTTTTTTATCGATCTTGCTGAATAATAATCAATAATTTAAAAAAAAAATATTGATGTATAAGTAAATTTTAATAGTTTTAATATAATAATATGATTAATAATTATTATAATAACACGAAAAAAATATAATAAATAAATTATAAGCTTATAATTTAAAAACAGTACCATCTAATTCTCCAAGTAAATACAAATACTTGATTTATTATAATCAAATAAATAAAATTGTCATAATAATTATTATTAGCACATAACTAACTTAAAGTTGTTGAATATATTAAATATTAAAAACACTTACAAATATAGTTTTTTTTATCCTTATTTGTAAGACTGTAAATTAATACAATTATAAGTTTTATTTGATATAAGTACATAAGAATTAAATTGAATTTAAAAATAGGAGTGTGGTGGTGAAAAAAATCGTTTTTATTTATATTTATATAATACTACTCCACTTATTTTGATAAAACTCTAGAAAAATAAGCTATTTATTCATTATTTTAATTATGAATATAACATGCTGTAAATAAATTATTTTCTATTAATATAATACTATAACAATATTTAAGTTTGTCTTGGATGGATGTTGTAAACTTCAACATTTATAAAAATACAATTCTAAGCAGAACCTGGCTATTACTTAAATTAAAAAAAATAAATATATTTCATCTAAAGTAATAAAGTATTCGTATATATAGTATGTAGGTAGTAAATATGTGTTAAATTTCCAATCTATTTAGATCACAGATGTACTGGATGAATCTGTTAAGGTATTTATTTACTATCCAAACAAATGTTAACCAGTAAAAAGTTTTATGAAACCAGTAGTCTTCTCACTTTCTTTTAAGATCTAATAGATTAATTTGAAATTAAATCACCACAAGTAAAAAAAAACTTAAGGTAAATTTAACAACAGAAAAAAAAATATTAAGAAAAAAAATGAAAATATTTAATTTGATAATATTAGTGAAAATCAGCTTAAGCTTACTATGAATACACCCAAGTACATATAGATTTTATTCTTTACTGGTGTACTTTATTTCTATGTGATTTTGTGCCTTAAATGATTGAACGTCATTTAATGTACATTGCTATATTATATTTTGAGATTAACTTTGGTTACTTTTGAGAACAAATGTTTAAAAACGGTAAATTTTATATTTATAATCTTAAAGAGCTTATTGTTAATAAATGTTTAATACCTAAATATAGTTTTAATGTCTGTTTACAGATATAAGAACTGAGAAAGAATTTTTTTACAAGGAACTATAATAATGAACTACTTTCCATTAAAATAATCCCTCTACTCGATAACATACTTGTATAATGACTTTTTCATGAACAATATAGTTCCAGGGATTGGTCGGTTTCTTATATTTTTCATAACATTTTCAAACAAAGGATGATAACAAGTTTTATATGAGTTGTTTAGCCGTTCTACCGTTATGAACAGTATACTGTTTATAGGAGAAAACAGTTTTAATTTAAATTAATTGTTAAGTGAATGACAGGAAATACATATTTTTAAAATGTCTCTAAAATGAAATAGAAAAATAGAAAATTTGAACAAGTTATTGTTATTGACCTTTATTTAATAAGTATAAAAATTAAATTATATAATATGTGTTTAATAAATCAAAATATGTGGCATGCTACATTCATTTATCAAAATCCAAAGCTTTGTATTGATATACCGTTCTGTAAATACTTAAACTTCAACTTTGGTAAATGTAAGTATATACTGTCACTACTGTCACAAAATAAATATCAAAACTCACTGACCGTGTACTAAACCACCAATCTTGTTTATGCTTATTAATATAATTTTTTATGTTTATCAATCAACTATCTTATATAATATCAGCTTTAAATTCTTAATACCTATGCATATATTATATTTTTTTAATTTTTACCAAATTTCTAGATAAAAACATAAAGTAAGCTTGTAAAGAGTTAATGATTTGATTTACGTTAATTTTAAAATACATTATGTTATAAGTACTAAAAAAATAAGACACCAATAATAGGAATAAACGATTAAAAAAAAAGGGGGGATTTCGTGAAATAATAATATTAGTGATTGCAGCATTGTAAACACTGAATTAATTTATATTCATAAATAAAATAACCATTAATCACAATTAAAATATTGTGGTAAATAAGTTCATTTTATATTAAGTGCACCTTCCTAAATATAATCACAAATATAAATTAAATATACTATTATGATTAAATATTTAAATCAACCCTATATAGCATATTTCATCCAGTAAGTACCTATACAAATAATTTCAAAATATTAAAGACTAGATGTATGTATTATTATAACTTATAAATGTGTATAGTATTTAGATTTAAACTTAAATATATTAATTAATTGATTAAACTTGAAGATAATAAAAATCATAAAAAAATCTACCTCAGTAAAACATATAAATATCTATTAATTTCTAAAAAATATATAATGTTTAGAATAAAGTATTTTTGTGTTGAAAGTTAATGCAAAACTTTTGATTAGAACCACCTTTAAGGGTCAGTGTTGTTGAAAAACTATGGAAAATTTTCAAAAATTACATCTCAATAAAGTACCATCTGTGTTTAATCAGTCATCAATAAAAGGGCCGCATAAAACTTTTGAACTCTTTTTCTTACCTCATAACATTTTTTCGTATAATTAAAAACTGCGAATTATTTAATACAAAATTCAAAACTCAAACTCAAATGGATTACCTATTTAAGCTAATGAAATAAGTAAATAAAGTTAATGTGAACATTTAATTTTTTTATCTTAGAAAATAAATAATAATACACACAAGTATATACATACAATATACTTGATAAGTATTATTAAAATTAAATCTGTAAAATAAATACGTTTTTTATTATTTATATTAGTATTACTATTATTTTAGGAATCATTTAATTTTGTAGTCATATAAATTCATACTTTAAAGTATGAAACGTAAATTAATTTAAAATTTACTAATTCAAATAAATTAAAAATCATATTCAAACTTTATTTATTTATTCTGAATAATATTATTAAACTTAATCGTACTCGTACATTATTATGGCTATTCTAAATTGTGTCTATGGTAAGTTCAAATTATTTTCTAGTTTTTAAGATATTGTATACAATCAAAATTTCATATTATGTATTTATCAATCATAATTATTTTTGAAATAATAATGTATTCATGTGTATATAAAGATAATGGACATTATCTCTAAACATAACTTTAATGTAAAGAAAGTGTATAATATTATAATATATATTATTATACAGCTAATTTCAAATTATATAAATAATATACTGTAACAAAAGAAAGGTTTATTTAATTATAGGAAAACACGATTCTTATTCTTTGAAGTACCACTATGGTATTATGTGTTCCTATACTAAATCTTCGATTCCTTATACTATTATAATTAATTATAACTATAAGTTTGTTGACCTGAGTACTAACATCAAACAATATTATGTTCAAATTGTAATTAATCTCTTTTGCAACATACGTAAGGTTATATTACAAATGACCCAAAGTTTTTAGAACATCCACAAATATTTTTTTTCTATTTGTTTATAGATAAATGGTCTTTTGAAAAATTAAAAAGTGTGTAAGCTTTTTTTTTATCCATTTTAATTTATAATATTAGGTAAAATTATGAACATTGTGTTGAATATGTGTTATAAAATTCAAAATTTTAAATGTTTCATGATAATATTAGATATAAACCCAGTAAAATATTTTTAAAAGTTAAAATGAAATGAAAATTGCTCTTTATTATCGTTTCAAATATAATTAACTAACTATAATTTACTAATATCCAACTCAATAATTTATTCATAATATTAAGTTTTTACTTTTTATTTTTCATTCAAGTATACAACATATGAATGGTTCAAATATTTCAAGAATCGCTAAACATTGAAACTTTTTGATAATTATTTTTAAAATTGGATAAACTTAACAAAAATTATATTAGTTCTTTCGTATTAATTTTATGTAAAATTTGAATTAAATAAATTCGATTGACATTTATTGATTTATTAATTTTTAATAAATCTACAATCGAATTTTAATGTATTATATGCTTTATTAGGTTAGGGGAAATGCGTTAAAATTAACCATGATAATATTAGTGTTTCATATTAAAATAATCACTCTAAATGTATAATATTATTTATATGAATATACCAACCTATTATAAACTTATACTATCAAAATAATGAATTTAAAGTTCAAATTTAGTTAAGAGTATGCAACAGTATCACATAGCGTATTGTCTCCATTTTACAAACGTATAAGTTGCACAATTTGTGTTCAGTAGAACCAATTTTGTGTTGTTAGTTTTAATATTAGAATAAATTAGTTATTATCAAATTAAAGGTAAGAACATTATCTGTACCAGTGTTCTTTCATTTTAATTTTTAACTAAGTATTGACAGTTATAAGTATTTTAATATTTAATATTTCACATAGATACATAAGCACTTATAGGTTACTTAAAAATTGAAATATCGTAAAAAAAAATAGTACAAGAGACCACAGATAGTATTCTTACCTTTAAGGTTGATAATAGGTCAATTTCCACTAATATTCAATTTAACAATGAAAAATACTAGTTCATCTGAACTCACAATAATTGTGATCAATTATTGATCTGTTTTACATTTATAAGACGGAGACAATACGTATAGGTAAGGCGTTCTCTTATAATGACACAATTATTGTTAAATATATTAAAACTTTTAATCACATTAATTTTATAAAATATCTCAGTATATGATTTATGTTATTGTTTTACTATATTTTAAAAAATATATGCATGTTTAAATAGAATTACCGTTATTTTTAAAATTTTCTTTGATGTATAATGACTTGAGTATTATTAAGAAGAAATCAAAACTAAATAAATTCATTTTTCCTTTTGTTTTGAAATTATTATATAATACCTACTTTGTATAAGTAAATACTATCAAGATTCAAAAATTAATTTTATAGTCAAAAGTTTTACAATCTAAAACAAATACTTCTTTCTATGTTTCAAATAAAGTGGAAAATAATTCTCACTCAAAGTAAAACAAGTAGCAAAATTAGTCTTAAGATATACAATAGGTACCTTAAAATAAAATTCAATTAAAACACTCTTGAATTCTTATCATTACATTTTACAGCCAATCAAAACTACAGCAATCTAATTATTACTCCACAATTTTATCTTTAAAAAACATTACTTACGTTTTTTATTATAACATTTTCTCTAATAATGGTCAAGTTTATGGATTAAAATAATATTATAACGCCAGTTGTTATTTTTTAGCTAGT